GTGCTCTCAGCCTCAGTGTGTGCTGTCAGCTCAGGGTTAAGGCAGACCAGCTGCAGCGCAGTCAGTGCTCTCAGCCTCAGTGTGTGCTTTCAGCTTGGGGTTAAGGAAGACCAGCTCCAGCGCAGTCAGTGCAGGCACACTCTGCACAGCTGTCTCAACATCCCCGAATGAAACTGGAAACAGGATTACGATGAAGTTCCCCATGAACAGCTGACACCCAGGGGAGCACATCCACAGCGTCAATCCCTCCCACTCCTGAGCTCTTCCTCAGCCAGCAAGTCACTCCAGACCAGAGACAGGTCTCCTGAACGTTGCCTGGAGCACGATGGGACCTCATCCGCCTCCAGCTGGAGCATGGTGGAGGGACTGGGATAAACCCGCCCCACCTTCCACGAGGGCTCAAGCAGCCACCTAGAGCTGAGAGGGACGTGGATGTCCCAGACACCAAGTTTCCAGGTGAATCTGAGAGGGCGCTGCGATGCGGAGACCACCTGCCGTCTCCCAGCCAGGCTGCAGAGTGCCTGTGGGTTTACAGGAAGGGCTTCCCCCAAGAGCACTCCACCGCCGCTTACCTTCATTCACACAGCTGCAGAACCCACACTGGTACCTCCTGCCGCCCTCGATGAACTGCATGAAGGGACACATGTAGGCCTTGCACCTGTTGCACCTGACTGGCCCGTTCTCTCCGTGGTCCACCAGGTAAAGGGGTGTCTAGAGAAGAGGAAGGCAAAATGAGGCCTCAGTGCAGGGCTCCTCGGTCCTCTCATCAGCACAGGTGCGGGGCTTCTCGGGCCTATCGTCAGCCTAGAAGTCTTCAATAGCACCCACCACGGGCTCTTTGGCACTGAGCCTCTGCTAGGACAGTCAAGAAGCCTCACTTGATAACCCCGGAATTCAAAGAAACACCCAAGGAAAATTAATTCAAGTCTCATTGACGAGCTCAGGACCTCTGTTTATAAGCACATCGTGTCCGTGCACGCACACACACACCGGTAGTGTGGAGACCGACAGTGACACCATCGTGCACTCTCTAGAATGTCCTGCGCACCGCATCACGCGAACGCTGTCTCTTTGTGACTTCGGATGAGAAGGCGAACTGGCCCTGGTTTTGAAAGCGCTGGTGCCGCAGGGCAGCTTGCTGTTTAGGGGTTCCCTCCAGCACGTGGAGCACTTGTTAGGTAACAGCCACCTGAAGCAGTGGTCAAGCCTGTGCCTTTCTCTTGCTGGGGCACCTCTGCCTTAGTGGTCACTGATGACAGGCCCTGAGGGTGGCACACTCTCCGCGGGGGTGGTGCTGTGCCAGAACAAGCTCAGCTCCCAGGTCAACTGGTCTCTCACATCTGTCCCTTCAAGTGAAACAGGGCCCTTCTCATCTTACAAATCACCTCACAGAAGGGTCTTGAGAAAAGCTTGAGACGGGCAGGTCTTGGCATGTCCATTAGATACTTGTAAAGATGGAAAATAAACCAGGCAGGAGGCAGGCTGTGGGTCATCAGGCCCTTTTCTACTAAAGCCTTAGAAAAACGAGATCTGCAGGTTCCATGTGAAAACTGGTCCCCGGCTGAGGGTGCAGAGGAGTTGTGAGGCTGCAGAGTGAGTGAATGCACACACACAGGTCTAGTGCAGCACACAAAAGAACCAGAGGAGGGACCGAGTTGCATGCAGAACTGCCCAGGCCTCGGCACCGTGCCCTGCTCCCTGCAGGAGGCAGAAGGACGGGGTTTCCTTCCAAACGCATCTCTTCTTTTTTATTTTTTAATTCTTTTTTTGGTACCAGGGATAGACTTCAGGGGTGCTTAACCACTGAGCAACATCCCCAGCCCTCTTATTTATTTATTTTTTAAAATTTGAGACAGGGCCTCACTAAGTTGCTAAAGCTGGCTTTGAACTTGAGATCCTCCTCCCTCAGCCTCCCAAGCCACTGAGATTAAGTCATGTTCCCAGGTGCCCAGATGGAGTGCGCGTCTTCCAGCCCACCCAGCTCCCCGGCTCTGGTGCTGCACGGGAGGATGGAAAGTAAAGAGATGAAAGAAGGAAGCTGTGCAGGATGCAGCCCTGCCCCAGCATGGATGGCTGGCCAGCAGAGTGTCCTGTCCTCCCCGCAGCCACTCACCTGCAAATGTGCATGTGTGTCGTATGTGTGCACATGTGTGATAGGTGCGTGTGTGTGTAGCGTGCACGTATGTGTGCATGTGAGTGTGTACATGTGTGCATGTGCTTGTGGTATGGGTGTGGAGCCAGTGCCTCAGCATGCTAGGCGAGTGTCCCCCAGAGCCACACTCCTGAGACAGAGTGTCTTGACCCTTATCCGGAGGGCCACAGCCAGGTAAGTGTGAGACGGACGTGAGGTCCCCAAAGCTAACCTGACAGTCACCATAAAACGCTATCCTAAAACGGATCCTGAAGACAGAATCTACCTCTCAGAGACTTAGATGTGACCTACCAGTTTAAAGCAGAGGGGCAGAGTAGACTCTCAGACGTGTCAGGAGCTTGCTCCACGTGTATATTTGTACACTCATTTATGCAGAAAGACATGAGGTGCAATGAACGCACCATTATGTGTAACTGTAAGGCACCACTTAACACGGTTTAGAAAGAAAGGCATAACCTGACAAATGTTTGTCCTCTTAGCTGGGGACAGTGAGACATGACCTGGTAAGAGGGGAGAAGATGCAGCCACAGAAAACAGACTGGGAACCCTGGGCTCTTGGTGGAGGACAAGGGCAGTGGGCAGAGGGGATGGTGCACTGGGTGGGGCAGCTGGGGACTCCAGGCTCAGCCAGGCACAGGAATCCTGCAGCCTGCTTTTACCCTCGCCAAGTTGGCTTTCCTTATTGTTTGTTTTCCAAGAGTTCAAAGGTTGATCAAGTCCCTAAGAGACTTTAGAAAGAAAATGATGCAATTATGAGCTAGATAAACCAGAAGTAGGGGAAGGAAATCCAACTTTTTCTGCTACAATTTGCTTAAAGGCAGCCCAAGCCCAGTGTGAACTATAGAGAGCAGAACTGAAGATGAGTGTCTGGTGGCCCACTGGACATTCCCCAAGGCCCACAGGACAGCACTAAGAAGGAAGGGCCTCCAGAGCTGAGCCACATCTCTGCCCAGGCTGCTAAGTGCCAGCATTTCTCCTGCTTCTGTTCTTTTGCAAAACCGATGATGGACAGGTGAACAAGATGGAGCACACGTTTCACAGGAGGGCAGCAACTCCTAAGAACTCTGACAAACATGCAGCAGAAAAGATGCAAGTCAAAAATTTCTTCTACAAAAACAAGAACTCAGGATTTCCTGGCAGAAGCCATCCTCTGCACACACAGACTTATGACCCTCCTGCACTCACACTCATTACAACGCAACACACTGCACTAAGAGAAGCCAAGCTGAGCCTCACACCACATAGCAACACGCCCTCATGCATCTGGAAGACGTACACTGGGAGGAAACCGTGGAGGGACCTGTGACTATGGACGCAGCTGCCTCAAGACAGCACCAGCTTCCCAGGACCAACGAGAGCCACAGCACCTTGGGGGAATCCCACCCCGGGTTCTGTCACCACCCTGGACTCGGGGGGACACTCAAGGCAGCGGCCAAAGCCTTGAGGGAGCCCCGTGCCCTGCGTTTCGCTCGTGGTGCAATGGACCCATTAAGACAGACGGACAGACCGTGGGGCAGGCAGTTCCTTTACACCTGTGGGGCTGCACGTGACCAGTGAAGAATTACATCCAGATGATGATGTGCTACTTGCTAGTTCGCCACTGGCCACAGGGCCACACTCGCCCACATTGAAGAGATGCCTATTAACAACACACAACGAAATTTAAGGCAGAACGCGTTTAAAGACGTATTAGGCACCTAAGAAAACAAGACAAAGCATCACATAGACCCCTTGCCATGGGCACACTGCCCAGACCACACGCAGGAAGACATAAATTCACATTTTCAAAGGCTCACAGGACAGCACTGCAGAGGAAAGGCTTCTGAGGGGGCAGACACAGCCCAGACTGGCCCCGAACTCATAGGTTATTATTCTGACATGATTTCCCCTGTACAAGGACCCTAGAGGGACACACTCTTCAGTACAACACCTGGTGGATGGCAGCCCAACACCATGAACACCCACACGTAGCCGAAGACGTCCCCGTCAACCTCGCTGTGTGACTACACCTCCCCAGACCCTGATACATGACAGAATACCGGATAACCCACATGGATGCAGGGGCAACTGAGTGACAGACACCTGTATGTACAGGGGGTGTCGGGATGACAGGCACATGTGTGGGGCACCGCGTTGACATGTGAGTGTGCAGGGGACACCAGAATGACATGTGTGTGCGGGGGGGGGGG